GTTTTGTCATAAGTTCCCCATAGTAAAATGAATACCCATGTTCATCGTTCTGTTGTACTAATTAAACAGTTTTAACTAAAATGATCAGGAAGTACGCACAAGCTGTTTATCACTGCTGGCCTTTGAGCTTCAGTATACTCGAAGGACATGCTACTTCAGATGCGGTAATTACCAAGTTCTTAAATTTCTACTGAAGAGGCACAGAAAGAGTTCCAACAGAGAATTTCAAATTAATCAGAGCTAACAGGGTACTTATTAATAATAAAGCCATGATTATAAAAGGAAAAAAAAACCAAAACAAAACACAAAATCAACAACCAGCATTTATTCAGTCCAACATTTGTAGGTACTAATTCCAAAAACTGTTTAAATTGGTATCAGACAGAAAGTTTAGTCCCAGCTCTTTAGGGAAATTCAAGAAAATCAATAATTTATCTGAAGCATAAGAACTATTAACTATTCACTCACAAATAATAGCATATATTTTATTTTCTGCTTTCTAAGAGCTCAATAATTTTCCTGAATTTTCTTATTTTTTAAACTCTGGTGGAAGATATTTCTCCATGACTAGAAAATGCCTTCAGCTTGTAACACCAGACTTAAATGACCATACAAAGCTCTAACTGTAGAGAGAAGATATTAACTGAAGGGCAAATTATGGAATTTTATCCTCTGAGTGTCTTCTGAACAATTTCTCTCTCAAGTTTCAAGTTTGTGCTAAATAATTCAAATTTCAGTTTTAAGACTAGAATTTCTATAAATATCTAACACTTTCCAAGGGTGCTAAAATTAAAATATAAAAATATACACAATTGCCTTACTATAGGTTGCAATGGAAAAACACTGAGCCAGAAAGCAGAGCATCCCAGCAGTTACACAATTTATCATATTGCCAATATATTACAGAAAAATGCTCCTTATTAATATAACACAAAAGAAAATTAGTTATTCTTTAGAAAGATTTTTGCATAACTCACTTACTAGTTGAGAAGTAGAAAAGCAGGCTGTATACAGTCAATGTTTAAAAAATACAGGCTATTTCAGACAATTAGCTTTTTGGAACACTGAGTCTTGCATTAACTATGGTCTTAGAATAAAAATACTCTATATACACTCACATAAAAAAAACTATTTTAAATAATGCTATAGGGGATTTTATATTTAATTGTATATGTCCTTTCTTCCGTGTAGATACCCAAAGGATAGTCAAACATTAATATCAAAGTGATGTAGGGTATGAAAATTTGTTTCATTTTTTATACATATATATATGTATGTTTCTGTAAGTTTCTTTAAAGTTATGGCAGACCATTATTTTTATGCCTTACAATTAATTTAGGATTTTGTGCACAAAATGGCACTGTAATACTATTCAGTTTTCACTACTGTCAAATAATCTATATCCTTAACACTAAGTTTAAAAAATTTACGAGAATTAAAATTTACTGTAACAACATATAACTTATTTGTGTTTCTTGGGTTTATTTTTTTTGTTATTATAAATATTACTAAATCTACATCAGAAAATAGGCTTTGGTGACTCTTCTCTGAATAATCTTCAAATTTATCCATCTTTATGTCTTGGTAAAACAAAATATTATTAGATGGAAAAGAACGATGGCAATAAAAATTAACTTGATTTCTCTGTCAAACTCAGTGCTACTTTGCACAATACGTCTTTTCTGTATCTAGTAACAATTAAATTAGTCGCTAGATATGAGAAGTTTTACTTAACGCTATGATTGCTATAAAATTATCTTTACAGGGGAAATTTATCTTTACAAGTGAATTTTACAGGGTTTTTTAAATGACAAATCGGAACCACTGTACTCTAGACCTTCTGAACCCTGTACTAGCATGAGTGTAAAGCGGGTTAATTTCTTACTTGCAGAAAATATATCACTTTGTATATAGTGGTATATTCTAGTTGCTTAACTAATTATTGAGTCTGTGCAGATGCCACTCTGAGTAGCTAGGAACAAATACAGACAAAACGTAGACAGGCAGGAGCACACAGAGAATGCTGGGGTTGGCTCCCCACTGAAGCCTGAATTGCTAAGAACCACGCTATAGAGGTAGAAGCTGCATCTTTTCTGGCAAACATTTCACATTACCACACAAGAATCAATTACCTTTCTATTCCAGGTCACATTGATACAAATCACAAGTTTCTCCAATCTCTGAATTTTTAAGGGTTTATTAAAATAGCAACTACCCCAAGGACATGTATCTGAAAGCACACAGAGCTAGCACTAGCTAGAGAAATTGTACGCCCCAAGTTTTGCAAGTCCTTTGAAAGTAACTAGACACTAACTCCTTCCTGCTTATTTACACTAAATTTGATAATCAACTGGCAGTAAAGAGCTAAGCTACTACATTCTTGATTCTAGAAGAAAAGTTTAATAATAATTACAGGAAATCCAACTCCTTTACTTCCTCCCATCTCATGACCACAGTACAGCAAACAATGTTCTGTCAAAACTACAACTGATAACTAAAGGCAACTCTTAACAAAGGATGCATTGTTGAGTTATAAACCCAATATTTAAAACACAGCTTAGCTGTTGAAAAAGTCAATAAGCAATGTACCTCTACAATACATACAGATATTTAAGTGCAGAGATACTTACATTGCTTTATGGAACAATTACATAGCATAGTTCCTAGGAAAAAAAAAAAATCTGTGATTCCACAGATTCAAAGGAATTGCTGCTATTGGTGTGAAGATATGTACTCATGTACGTATACATATAGAAACATACAAACATTTAATTTCGAAGAAAAATGGAAGGTAGGGGGAGACAGATGTTTTTACTGCCAACATAAATTCTTTGAACACTTTTCTCAGTACAGGTATTTTAACCCAAAACCAAAACTTTGAAAAGTGAAAAGGAAGAAGAGACATTTGTCTAAATATTCTTTTCTGAATAATGACTTAATTTTCTTAATGGAGCAAAGAATCATAAAATGGTTTGGGTTGGAAGGGACCTTCAAGATCATCCAGCCCCAACTCCCCTACCATGGGCAGGAACACCTCCCTCTAGACCAGCTTGCTCAAAACCCCATCCAACCAGGCCTGGAACACTTCCAGGGATGGGGCAGCTACAACTTCCCTAAGCAACCTGTTCCAGTCTCTTGCCACCTTTATAAAGAAGACTTTCTTCCTCATGTCTAACCTAAATGTCTCCTCTTCCAGTTTTGATCCATTACCCCTTGTCCTCTCACTACAAGCCCTTGTAAAAAGTCTCTTCCCAGCTTTTCTGTAGGCCTCTTCAGCTACTGAAAGGCCACTATAAAAATCTCCCCAGATCCTTCTCTTCTCCAGGCTGAACAGTCCCAACTCTCAGCCTGTCTTCATAGGAGGGACGCTCCAGACCTCAGATCATCTTAACAGCCCTCCTTCTGGACTGGTTCCAAGAGCTCCATGCCCTTCTTGTGTTGGGGGCTCCAGAACTGAATACAGTACTCCAGGTGCAGTCTCAAGAGGGCAGAGTAGAGGGACAGAATCACCTCCTTTGACCTGCTGGCCATGCATTTTTTATGCAGCCCAGGACATGGTTGGCTTTCTGGGCCGCAAGTGCACATTGCTAGCTCACGCTGAGCTTCTTACCAACCAACACCCCCATGTCCTTTTCCTCATAGCTGTTCTCAATCCATTCTCCACCCAGCCTATAACTGTGCTTGGGATTGCCCCAAACTCTGTGCAGGAGCTGGCACTTGGCCTTTTTTAACTCCATGAGTTCGGCATAAGCCCACCTCTCAAGACTGCCAAGGTCCCCCTGGATGGCCTCCTATCCCTCCAGCATGTCGATCTCACTACACAGCTTGGTGCCATCAGTAAACTTGCTGAGGGTGCTCTCAATTCCACCATCCACATCACCAACAAAGTTGTTAAATGGCACCAGTTCTAGTACCAACCCCTGAAGGACACCACTCATCACAGGTCTCCATTTGGACATCAAGCCATTGACCATCCAGCTAGTGCCTTATCCTGTGAGTGATACACCTAGCAGAGACCAGGATGTCACGTAAGACAGTGTCAACCCTTCACACAGGTTCAGGTAGACAACAGTTGCTCTTTCCTTATTCACCAATGCTGTGACCCCATCGTAAAAGGCCATCAAATTTGTAGGGCACAATGAGCTTTTATTTGGAGGCCTGTATGTTCTAAGCGTAACTAAAATAAGAAAGCTTAATTTGGAATGCTTTGTCTAATTAATGATACAAAGAAAAGTCATGGGAATGCACAAGTGTTACTTTCATTTTTTGGTGTACTGTAGTTCTTACACTTTACTTCTAAATTCTCTTAGGGTGGAGGTAACACAATTTCTTTGTCAGTGATCAATGAAAATGGTTGTGGTAGGTTTTGACAGGACTATTTTTCCCAAGTTGCTTTAAGAAACCATTCAGACCACAGAAGCTCTAAATAGTTCTTCAAGTTAAAGGAAACCCTTCTCCCTCAAAAAGGCTGGTGTACCACAGAAAGTATAACCCAACAGAGAACATAACACCAGCATGCAAACAAAGACCTTTGCTGAAAAACAACAAAAGAAAAAGAACCCGCGATAAAAAGAAACTTCTATACGCAACAGAACTAGTTACACAGGTATGGGACAAACAGAAACTGAGAGTAAGTAGTCTCCCAAAGGTTTCCAAAGTCTCTAAGGGTGTGACTTTCAGAGACACATGAAGAGGAAAACTCCACCCCAAGAACTACTTCCCCTGTCAGCATCTCAAGACTGACATTACTGAATGAACAAGACAATTCAGAACTTAGATCTAAAGCTTTATAATCCATACTTGTTTGGTATTTAACACAGCCTTCTTCCACTCACACTCACTACAGATCAAGCCACCAAGACCAACATACATTGCTTCCCTAAGAAATATCTTGTCAAAAGCAGTTTAGTGTGATCCAGGGGTACCACCACATGAAATTTACATTTAGAGACGACCACAAGGATCAAAAAATAATTTAGGGACTAAAAAGATATACTTACATCTGGATATTCTTTTACAGGCACATATAGTTTCTCTTGTAACTGTACAATAGGTCCCACAGCATCTGGTAATTCTGCACTTCTCTTCTCCGTACTACCATTTAATGTGTCGTTATACATGTCTTTCCGTACTCTGCTAATTTCTGTGGGGGGAAAAACGTATATTAGGTATTAAATACAGTAACAGATTATAATCTAGCATGACAGCATTCTCTTTGTAAACTTCCCCAAAGCTCAATGCCATTTTCTTCCTCTCTTCATGAGCATCATGGTAACGTGACAGAAAAATCTACTCTAGTTTTGTTTAGGTTCTTCTAGGTTTTTCAGAGTTGGGTTTTTTGGTTTGTTTTTGTTGTTGGGGGGTTTTTTTTGGTTGGTTGGTTCTTTGCTTTCAATTAATAAACTCATCTTAAATATTTTTTCTTCATGTCTAATTTTGCTGACTACTCATCCTGTTTATGGATTTCAGCTACTGAAGTCAAAATTACATGCAGCTTCTTAGAAGAGTTACAAGATTGTTCACATCATTTGAAAGGTGTATAAGAACAGTAATTGTATGTATTTTTATAACAAAGCATTTAGAAAGCAAAAAAATTAGAAACCCACACCAAACAAAAACCACAAAAATGCATCTATACAGTACTATTTGCTAGTTGTGAGATTACCTATATTTGGAAATAAAATGGTGCACCTTTCAGCAATGAGAAATATGAGAGCTCAAGGGTGCAGTTACTAAGTACATGGTGTGACAACAAACTAGTAGATATTGTTCTACTTACTACCCCCCAGTGAGATAATGAAAAAATGAAGACAAGTATGGTATCAGAGACTTGGACAACCTCTATATACACCCAAAAGACCTCCTACTCCATTGCAAAGTAATGAAAAACTCCTCAACAGCACCAGGAAATGTCACAAGTCAACTTATAACTAATGTTTTTCCCAATTACACATGTACTAGCCACCACTTGAGGTATTCACTTGGAAGATATAGTTAAGTAGTTATAAACAAGGTAGTTAAATTGACAAATTAACTTGAATCCAGGATAATTTCACTAAACAAATAATCTGAGAATGGACAAAACATTTTATCTCATTTAATGAAAAAACATTTTACAAGACCTTATATTTCATTTATAGAACTGTTACACTGGTATTTAAATTGCTGCTATCAGAATTAAAACTCCTACATCTCATACCTTATGGAATTCCAACTAGTATAAAGTTTTCTCAACGAGTTTATTCCAATTTCATTAAAGAATTACTTAAAAATTTATTAACAAAGTTCCAAATGGAAAACTAACCATTAAACAGTCATTGTTCCCAAAGCTTTAAAACTTCTAGCGTGGGCTGTGAAAACAGGTATCTGTAATACCAGTCTTTTACTCAGAATTGCTACAACTGCTTTCAAAATCTTCAGAATTAAAATAAAACTGGAAAGAGAAACTGTATGTTTTCATCTGACCACAGAAATGAGAAGTCACTTCAAACTGTGGCAGCAGACAAGAGACTAATATAACCTCTCTTTCATAATCAATTTATTCTCTGGCAAATGATTTATAGCTCAGATTTCACCACTTGAAAATTATGGGGGGAGAAGGAGAGCATTAGAAATGACACGTTTGAAAGACAGCAGGCTTAATTTTCAACCAAGTTAGTCTGCTTTACTTCTAACAAACTCCCTCTGCATAATTGGAACAAGGTGTTTCTCCACTGGAAACTGACATGTAAATATTGCATACTATATAATGATTTGGTGGGTAACACCTGTTTAAACTGGAGAACACAAATTTCATCATAATATATTCATAGCTCAAGGAAAAAATCCACAGCTGTTTCTACACTGACAACGTTGGGAACAGGCACAAAATCCTCAGAACTACAAGCAGTCTTCAGTATATAAAGAAACTCTTTAGCACATCACTTTGAATATTATTATCTTTTGGCAGACTGTTTCCTTTTCATTCTCTTCAGATTTTCCATTAACTTACACTACACTGAAACAAGCTAGACAGTGTGCTGAAGTACTGAAGCATACGTAGCAACAACAATTTTTATTTATATTTGGCAGTTACAGAATAGCTACACTGAAAATGCCATTTTAAATCGTATTTTTTGTGTAGAATACAATCACTAGCATTAGATATCCTAGTTCTCACTGGAGAGAAGGAACTCTTACTTTAATCTTTCCCTTGGAAGTATGTCACATTTGTGACACTCTAGAGCCAAACATTCAGAACACACAGATAGGGTAGTATGATAAACTGACTTGAGGACTAGCACAAAATTCAGGCTTGTATGAAACTGAAGCCCTCTATCATGCTTCAAACATTATACAGACTGAAGACACCTACCAACTTAGGATTTTCTAATCCACTCCAGGACCCAAAACATGAAATTCCATTTTCTTTGCATATATAGGTTTTTATCTTCTCTCTCTACATTCAAGCCACTGGTAACACTGACAAACATCAACACAGCAATAGTCAGCTACATCAACTCAGCATTATCATCAGCTCCTCAAATGCTGTTTCTTCTGCTGCTTAGCATTTTACCTTCCCTCTTGCTTTAGACAGTTTCCCAAAGACCTCAGAAGAAACATTCAGAAGCAACAGGTGAAGTAACAAGCATGTATTCCAAATTTTTCTTTTACTGCTCCAAACTCCCTCTGTAACACTACTTAGGAGCCTCTCTCTTCACTTGTCTTGTATGTAGCAGAACTGAAGGACCACTGCTTCAATAAAATATTTAGATCAAATCTCCAGTTCACCCATTCTTTCTCACTTCTAACTATGGATATAACACAACTTACAAACCTTCACAGCTTGTTAGTCCAGTCAACCACGAGCATTCTCCTGAACACATGACTAGTGAAGTTATTTATATACTTAATATGAATCCCGGATCCTTCCAGATTCTGCCGAATCTCTTTGCACATCTTGAAGTTGTTTTTTTTCTTTCATGACTAACAGCAGTTTTCTCAGATATCTGCCTCTTGTTTATTCACAGAATTGACAGAGAACATTGTCTAGAGAACATCTAGTCCAACTCCCATCTCTTGTGTCTCAAGAGTCTATACAAAAATACTGAATTTTGATCACATAATCTTTCCTTTTACCATCTACATTAAACCAAAATGAAGCTTGTAGACTCAAGTATCTTGTTACTTTGCCATTCACTTTATGCAGCTATGCGTATCTACAGAACTGTCTGCTACTCTACTTCCAGCACCTCCCTCAAGAGCTTATCAGAAGTGCAGTTAGGTTCCAGAAAGCCCCACTATCAGCATGTTATAAAAGTTAAAAGCTCTACTCTCTCCTCTAGCAAGTATCTGTTTCATTCTTTTCTGAAATATTTAAAAACACTTTCAAATCTGAGGACAGGATTAGTACAAGAGGAAGGTCACATCCTCAAAGCATATCTTTTTATTTGTTTATCACTTAATACACATAGCATTAAAAATCAGAGGAACTCAAGTAAACAGCCTTTTGTTTAGATTTATTTCACACTACCAAGCAGATGTCTCATCTTTCCTTCCAAAAAGCTTCTTTGGCATCTCTCTCATGAAATCACACTTTCCAAGTTCATTTGCAAGGCTTTAGCTACTCCACATTTACAATTCTTCACAAATTCTTCCATCATGGTATCTCACAGGAAGCCAACAGTTTTAAAAATTAGGAAAGCTTTACTTTCAAAGCAAACATCTAAGTACAGTTCTAACTACTTTACCTCTATCTTAACACTGCAGCGGTAATTACACTGTATAACACTCTAGGGATTTAAAAAAGCGTTAGTAAGGAGAGATAATTAAAATAATAGATGTGTCTAAAAAAAGAATACAGCAGCTTCACCATACCTCTAAAACCTGTATACTCTGCAAATGCAGTAATAGGCCTCCCTTTGAAGAGATCTAAGTACCCATCTCTACTGTAGGTAGAAGTAAAATCTCATATGAAGAACATGAAAATCCACATTGTTCACCTTTAACAATATTGTGAGCTGTAAGTAATAGTTTAGCAGTAAATTACAAATTTGTCTTGCTCACAGCATGGCAGTGGAGGAACAGACTCAAAAAAAAGACAAACTTATTTCAATATAATTAACTTATTCCACCTTAACATGGCATGACTTAGTCACCTACGGTAACAATGCATTCTGGTCCAGGAGAACATCTGTTTCTCTGTCCCTGAAAACCACAGAAGTAATTTAATCTTGTTTCCTTCAACTACAGATAGTATTTTTCAATATCTCTAATACCTTTCTAAGATATGATCTGAAGCTGAACACAGTTTATACTGACTGCATTTGCCTACAGAGATGAACTTTTTTATTTCTTTGTGACACTTAACAATAAAGTATTCTTTCTTCTTGAGCACATGACTGTTCAGATGAATGTTTGTCACTACATTGAAAACAACCAAGAAGTTACCGCTTTTCAGCTGCTAATTATTATTCCTTTACAGGAAGTAAGACTTCACACGTGTGTAAGACTGTTGGATTGCAACGTAAAATGGATTTACATAACTTTCTCAGCAAAAACACTGAAACAGGAAATGACAGATTCAAATTCTTCCTCTCCCATAACTTTTGGAGTTACAAATCACCCTCATCCCCAGGGCCTTCGGCTTCAGAATTTCTCATCATTAAGGCTTTTTCTAAATTATAAGGCTTTATCTTTTGAAATAACAGCACACTTGGACACTGCTTTTAAACAAACAAACAAAAAAAAACTTCATGGCAGTTTTAACTACAATTAAGAACTTTTTTCTAACTCTTTTGCAATCATATAGGTTCCCAAAACAGAAAACAAAGGTTACAAACATTCTAACATACAGACATACAATTACTGCTTTGGAGTACCCAAAGCCATTGAACATGGATCCAGGGTTTATCCATGCAGACAACCCATTCCATGTTCCATTAAAGCATTATCCATCAATTAGACAACTCTTAACTAGAAACCAGATAGTTTTATATAATATGCAGCATCTTCTTTAAACAGCATCCAATAATATCGTAAACAAAACACCTAAAAAATGTAACTAAGTGGTAAAAAAAAGTGGGAAAAGTATTACTATTATATTCTGCTTTTATTTTTTGAAGAAGAGCATGCAAAACTC